ATGCTAAAAAAAATAAGCTGAAATATCAACATAATTACAACTTATTATAGTAAATGTGACGTAGATAAAAAAATTGTGCATTGTATAATAATTATGGACATAAAAGCTACCAAGTGGCAAAATGCTTCAGATAATTAAAATGTGGGAGCAAAGATGTCATGTGGGGAATTACTGTTTTGTGACATTTGATCATTTTCTTTACCTTAGACAGTAGTAATTTTGGTACTTCACAGAGCATTGCACATTCATTTTGCTCATCATGTTTATTCATTTTGCTCAATCCCACATCAAATTTGTTACTCCATTTGTAGCTAAACATGACTGCAAATTGAGAAAATGACATTTTTAAAAAGTGACGTGATTTGACGCAACATTCAATAAAATGGAATCAACCTTCTATAGTTTCCCAGCATACATTATTCCAAACAATTCTTCAGTTAGTCATATTTTAGTTTAAAAATAAGGGTAAAACCATTAAAAGCAACAAATTCTCATGTTCGAGTCTATTCACACTGACAGAAAAAGATAAAAAATCATGTCTGTTCATTTCAAGGGGACCTCGTCACAAGCAAAGTAATCCTTCAGTGGTGCTAAAAGATGTCTTATGACAGGGACGCTCCAGGACTTCCCCAGCACTCTCTGCCTCTGCAAACGCCCCATATTTTTCACATCCGTGTAATGCTTCGGAAATCCAAATATTCTGTGAAAGTGTGAGAATCATCATAAATAAAATACATATTTGTATTTAAATGTTTATTTACAGCTAAGAGCAGAAGTAAAACTTACTTCTCCATTTCTGTGATCCATATATTGTCATCTTTTCCATTCATGGTGATGGGGAAATGTGCATCATTGGTGCCCTGCTTCAGTGAGTTTGGTCGTGTGGTGATAGTGCGAACTTTTTCATACTGCAAAACAGTACAAATTTCAGTTTGTACCAAAACATACCCAGTTTCAGAACTCATCACTAGTGAACTATGTACTGCATATCTTTGGTTAGAAGCTCATGACAGACCTTTGCAGTGCGGCCAGGCTCCAGACATTCCTGAAGCCGGAGTTTATCATTCTGGGATGCTATGATAGGTCTGGTCAAAACAGAATAAAATGGATGATGTTTAATTTACACTGTTGAGTGTATTTTCCAGGTAAAAAACAAAAAAAAACAAGTGTGTTATTCATATGAATATAACTGACACACACCTGTTCATGCCAGGTATGTTCCCCCAGAAGTATCTTGCTCTGTGAGCTGGACTCACTTTCACAGCATCAACAAGCACAGGGTTACACTAAAAACAAACCACACAGACTTACTACATCGTGAGACTAAAACATTTGTGTGAATCGTGATCCCAAGATTCAAGAAAAAATATATAGAATGTAAGAGCTTTTTAAAATTGACCATAAACTGCTGAGAGTATTTATCAAAACGTCTATGAAACAAGAAGAACACTCACTTCCAGAAAGCGGCAAATGTCAGCTTTAACCTGGGTTTGCATGAACACCACGTTCTCAAACAGCCAGAAGAACGGTTGTGGGTCATCTTCCTTCGGTTTCATAACATTCAGAAGCCGATAATATTCAAAAAAGAGCCGCCCTGTGCCCTCTGCAGAGAGTAAAGAGGATCTCAGATGCAATGAATGATGCTAACTGTTACCTGTTTTGACATGAGACCAAGCACTGAGCCTGCTCAGCAGTAGCATGTTTAACAAAACTTTAAATCTTGACTTACCATACAAGCCTTTCCTAGCAGGATTGACTATGGACAAGTCATTACAAGGACTTCCACCAATGAGAAGATCAAACGGGCCCCATTTGTCAATCTGAACAATGAAAGAGAATATATTCAATGGGCAGACTGCTGAGGAGTCTTCTTCAGATGTGTAATTAAATCTCAGTAAGTATAGAGAGAGTTTTTTAACATTTAAAACATTTTAATCAAATCTCAGAGATTTCGGTCCCTCTACCAAAAGTCTATTCACCCAAAACTCGGACGCTTCCAAACAGATCAAAAAATAAATCCAAATGAATGTTTACAGCATTCAAATCAAATGAGGTTCTTTCTTGCGGGTCATGCCAGCATGTTTGAACTTCCACAAGAACCAATGAGGTTTGGTCTCACTAGTCAAGCAGGAATAGTTGAGCTTCCATTTCCGTTCACTGATCAATGCTTATATGTGAATAAAAGCCCAAATCTGTTCATCAAATAAAGTGATTGTCTCTCTTCAGACTGGGACTTTTTCATTCATATGGATTTATTTTTGATCTCTTTACAAACATCTTGAAGCATCAGAATTTTGGGTGAAGAGACTGTCAGTAGAGGAACAGAAATCTCTCAGATTTCATAAAAAATATTTTATTACCAAAAGTCTTGTGGTTTTGGAATGACATGAGGGTGTGTAAATGACAGAATTTTCATTTTCGGCTAAACTAACACTTTAAAGACAAGGGGAAAAAAACAAGAAGATGAGAAATTATTTTGTAACCATACATGCTTTTTCGTAATGTTCTTAACATCATCAACATGAGTGATTTTTCCATCATGGTTAACCATAGAAATGGTGATGGATTCTTCATCAACTTCTGAGGCCACATATTTTTCCACTTTAAAGCCAAGATCCCTCAGAACAAGGTATCCTGAAACATAAAAATGTATGTAAATAAGCCACATAACCAGTACAAGAACAGACTATAATAAGTGTGTATTACATTACAAGTGGTGAAAAATACAGGAAGTTTTACCTGTGGCTATACCATCAAATAAAGAAAGGACTCTGATTGGACGTCGCTGGTTAGCAGGGATTGATGGGTAAACACGGTGGGGCTCCTGAGGAGGACAAATGTCAGTGTTGGAACCAATACAAATACAAATCAGGAAGATCATCCAATATTTGTATGAGATGACTAACAAACTCCATGGCGCTGTTGTTGGCAAAGAATTCCTGCACACGGATGCTCCAGTCATGCCTGGGCTTCAAAGCTCCAGAGCTGCTCTCGGGTGCACAAAGGTAACAGGTCCATGGGTCCACATTTTTCAGCTGGTTAAATGTCCCCTCACCCACTAGGATATCCAGACAGTCCACACAGTAGCAGCTAGAGAATGAGACCAAATTAGATTGGGGTCAAAACTTGTGAAAATGATTACACTTTGTGTATTTCTAATTTAATATTTTTCCCTTGCAAATTTTATTATCGATTGAGTCCAATTTGCAATTATCCTGCATCACAGCACCATTTAACATGCATAAACGTGATTCAATTTACTTATCTGATTAGGGGCAGAGAAATAGTGCAGAATCTCAAATGTATAATGATTCTTTGTTTTAAAAACCTAAAACAAGCCCTTTTTTTAAAGGGGTCATATGATGTTGCTAAGAAGAACATTATTTTGTGTATTTGGTGTAATGAAATGTGTTTATGCGGTTTAAGGTTAAAAAAACACATTATTTTCCACATACTGTACATTATTGTTTCTCCTCTATGCCCCGCCTTTCTGAAACGCGTTGATTTTTACAAAGCTCATCGGTCTGAAAAGCGAGGTGTGCTGTGATTGGCCAGCTATCCAGTGCGTTGTGATTGGCCGAATACCTCAAGCGTGAGACGGAAATGTTACGCCCCTCACCATACTGTTGATGCCGTGTCCGGCCGGAGCGACGAGACATAAACATTAAAACCCATTATAAACGAGGCATTTGTTGCATCCAGTGGGGACATAATTGCTGATTATAATGACTTATACTGTCTTTTTACACGTTGCATCGCGCCGCGTAAACATAAAACTGTGTCTGCATTTGTGATCAGAGAAATTACAAACCACAAGTGCTACTCTACACTGCTCAAAACTCGCGTTTGAATCATCAGTGGCAAATGATAAAAGAAAACGTACTTACGTGAGTCAGAACTGCCGGCATTTTAGTCTAACGTTACTCTCCCAGGATCAGTAAACAGTCCTCCATAAAATGTGCTGCACACATCTGATTATTTGGGTTGAAGTGTTCTGGAACAGTGTTGTAAATACAACTTAACCACTGATTTCTAGTCGTGTCCATTTTTGGATGGCCAAACAAAGTAGTTTCGCTTTCACAACGAAACACAGCGTCACACACGGTGGCCTAGAGTGAGCGGCGGTGAGCGGCGGGAGCGGCGGCGGGAGGGCTTGCGGCAACCACATGTGACGACCCCGGGCTGGACTCCGCTTTGAAAGCCGAGAAAGCCGAACCGGCGATCCACAGC